TATATAACTTTTTAGATGAAAAAATTATAAATAAATATCAATATCAGCATTCATAAAAAAACAAATAAACAAAATCATACATCGACTCAATTAATTTTGTATTAAATATAATCTTTAGAATATGTTTACCATTCCACACAATAAATTTATTTTACATCCTTTTAGATGTTTCCCTTTCTCTAAATACATCCATCAAATTTTGTTGATTGATAAACTGGATCATAAAAATTGTTTGATAAGCATGGAGGTTAATTGTTTTGAATCAAGACAAAAAATTATTGCAATAAAAAAAAATTAAGCTTATTGGATATATTGTGAGTTAATAAAAGATAGAATTATAAATAATACATATTGTGAGTGTGTTATATGTCTTATTCTTGAACATAAACCATTCATAAGTTATAAACTTGGTCTTTAAGATTAAAACAAAAATGAAGTTAAAATATTATAAATCACTTACTACTTTTAGTAACTTAAAAAACATGAAAAGAAGTTATCAATACTTACCTATTACAAAGTCAGACTTTCCAATTTTCTTATAAAGTGTAACATCCTAAAATCAAGCCTAAGAGATTGCCCTCTTTGGTGAGAAAATAAAATTTAAGGAATAAACGTAAATTAAATTTAAATAAATTAGTAAATAAATTATAAGATAATTTATTGAATTTTTCTAATATAAAGGATGAAAATCTAAATAGAATAAGTGTTTGGACCTAATGAGTAGAAAATGTAAGTAAACGGACTAGTTTGGCTAATTTGAAAACTTTATGACCAAGTGTTGACTTAGTCAATGTCTAACCAGCTAAAAGAAAGTATTTTAGGGTCAAAGTATGAAATATGGAAGTTTTATAGTCAAATGGGGTCATTTTTGTAAGAATTAAGAAGTAAGGGACCAAAAGTGACAAGTAAGGATAGTTAGAAGTCTTCTTCCTCATTTAAATAAGAGGAACGATTTTGAGAGTGGAAAATATGGCAATTATAATGAATTGATTAAGAACTAGAGCTGGTTTGTGAAGAATTAGAGAGGTTGTGAAGCTAGGGTTTCATCAAAGCAATTGGGGGTATAATTTCTATACAACTTCTCTTAGAGTTCAAACCTATCGTTTGGGTTTGAACCCCAAATCCGATGATGGTTCTTGTAATGTTTATTAGATGTTAATTCATGTAAGGTTTTAGTGTTAGAACCACCATAGTTCATTGAATTAATTTTAGTTTGATTTTGAAGGACGTTTCGTTTAGATGTTGCGAATGAAGCTCCATTAATGTTGGAATTCCTTATTTAGTAGTTCAAATGAGTTAGTGAAGTATTGGATTACCTCCTAGAACACCATGAGATTGTTAAATCATCCTTAAATGGTTTCAATCCATCAATTAATTGTGAAAATGGGTGATACAAACTCTAGGTTTATGTATGAGTTGTACCTTGGCTATGATGAGTAGTACTCTAGCCTCTATTCATAGACTTGGAGTTAATATGGAATTAGTATGTGCTTAGTGTAGGGTTTTGAGCATTCGAACACTCCTATTGTGTACATGCAACCCTAGAAACCTTGGATCTATGTTTTCTCTAAAATACATGCAAATAAGAATTTTCCAAGGTTCTCAACCTAACTAGCATGTTATGGGGTACTTGTGATATAAAACCTTAGTAGAGTAACATACCTTTTCTTGTGGTTGATTGATTGGAGTCTTGAGAGCCTAGCACCAATAGTGTGGATGCCTCAAGTGGAATCACAAATCACCAAAACACCTTGGAAGACTTGAGAGAATAGTTAGCACCAAGTAGAAATCTGCCCACTCTTTTGTACTCATGCACTAGTGCCATTTCATGTGCCAAGGACCCCTTTATATAGTGTGGTGGATTAGGGTTACATCCATGTAAACCCTAATACCCATGACCT